GTACGTATTGCCTGGCATCCATCGTATTTACCAGATTTGGCTCTCAGGGACTACTATTACTCTTCAGAATCCTGAAACAATTCCTTCGTGGAAAGCGTTTTTCGTCGAATGAAGAAGCTATCACAGAAGAAGCTTTGCAGAGCTTCCGGAAAGTCATTACAGGGATGAATTATTGGTATAAGTGTATTGAAGTTAGGGGAGATTATATTGGATCGAGCTCAGAAACTTTTCAACCAACCTGTATGTTCTTTTTATAATGACTAACGTTAGAATTATTTTCACTTAATTTTAATTTAAGAAGAGTAATCACTACTGCAATCACGCATGCAAAATACACTTTTGATTACTTTATTGTTTTGTTGTTATTAAAATAAAGTTTTTATAATTATTGAATAATTTAAATTTACAAAATTTTAATGTAATTTACTTGAATTTTGTGTATCATTTAATTAGAAAAAATTGATATTGATATAAATATTAAATAGAGTTAATATTTCGCTCGGGCGCCAATTGAATAAACCTCAACGGATGTGAACACATATTTCGCATTAAAAATTGTCATCGTTATAATTTAGTAAGTTTTGTTGCAGTTGCAATAGTATGAGCCTGTTCCAGACGGTTTCATAATTTCAACATGCTTGCCGTCGATCGTTCCAATGTAGTTGGGGAAGTTCCACAGGGTATAGAAATTGTTAGCGATGAATTGTCACTCATTTTCAGTTTTTGGAATCTGAAATAAGAATAAAAGTAATTTTAGTTCTCCCTCTATTTTCAGGCTCATTTGCAAAGCAGTAAAAACCGAAAAAAGTTTGGCAACAATGCAAAGTTTCTTGAAAAAGCCATACAACACCTTGAACAAGCAAAATAATCGGAAACTATGCGTGATGAAGCTGACGTATTTGGTGAATCATGGACAATTTTATTAAGGAAATTACAGTGAAGCAAAAAGAAAACTTGTACAGAGAGATATTTTGACTTTGAAGCTTATAAGCTGCAACCAAGAGTAACAGTATGGTAATTTTATGTATTTTTATACAAATTTTAACAATAACTCAGTTTTGATGTTAACGATTGCAAAAAAATAAAATATCTATATTTGAGCTGCCAATAAAAATAAAAACTTGTACGTTGACAGCACTTAAAAGGCAGTTATCAAGAAGGTACCGTTATTTTTATTTGGTATTAATTGCGTATGGTCACAATATATTATTTGGTAAGCGAATTTCTTTTTTGTGCGG